CTACTACTACTACTGCTGCTACTATTTCTACTACTACTACTACTACTACTACTACCACTGCTGCTACTGCTACTACTACTGCTACTACTACTATTACCACTACTGCTACTGCTACTGCTACTGCTACTGCTACTGGTACTACTACGTGTGAGAATGTCAAGCGTTCCTTCCCGTACCTTCAAGATAACTCAGTATTGTTTTCGGTTTGGAACTTACCAGTTCTCAAGATTGTTCGCACATACAAAAAAACAACAACCCATAAACAATAGACAATGGAACAATCGACACATGACAATATCATAATATCGTGACTCTTGCGATTTGTGTCTTGATAAGACTGCTTGCCGCTACACAATGTTCGCAAATCTCAAGGAGGGCAGAAACATAATCTTTGGACCCTTGGTACTCTTAAAGATGGTATATAATAAGATAGTTCATTCTCTCTTTGAGCCAATTAAAAAAGTGTCCTCAAAATTCGGTGGCGCCCTCTTCGAAACAGCGCGGACTTTGCGAACAGATTTACCTTACTTGTGTGAAAAACAAAAAAAAACGTGAAAATAAAAAACTGTGCTATTCCTATTCTTCTTTTGAAGAAACAAAAGAGAGCTTTAAAACAAAGACTGTAGCGCCATCTAAAGCAATGCGCGGACTTCTGCGGACACTTTTTTGGCTGAGTGAACAATCTCGTTAAGTACGATCTTTGGTACTTTTCATATGGATGTTTACTCTCTCTAAAAGCTTAGCTGTGCTGTCTTGTGCACCGTGGGCGCGTAAATGGTAGTCAAAACACCAGCCTCGACCATATTATAGTCGAGTTGCTGGGCAACGTTTTACGGTTTGCCCTTCATTTGATACCAAATAGAGTCAAATTGTGCAGTCCAATTACCGTCTAGGGTAAGTATTATAATACAAGTCTTGGCAGAGTAATAAAAATAATATATATGGTATATATATAGCGTCCCCCCCCCCTCTCCCCCGTGATAAAAGCACACAGGCTTCGAGCGCTTTACAATACAACAGTGGTGACATACAAACAGAACATTGTTGTCTGACCAAAAATAAGCCTCTCTCTAAATATTTATCTAATTAATTCAAAAACAGAAATGACTTTATCTGACATTTGAATGAATTAAAGGATTTGATCTCTCTTAACTACCGGGTAAAGCATTACAGACCTTTGAGTATTTTATTCAAATGCCCTTTCACCCATTATTTTAAGTTTCAGAGATAGTAAAAGAAATTTCTTTTTGTCAGCCGACGACCTTAGATGCGAGTTTGAATGTACAGTTTCAACAGACTTGATAGATTTAATATGATGGCGCATTATCATTCCAGTATACTTTTTGACACACCTTCTCACAAGAGCGATAGCGACCTAACCAAACAGTGAACTGCTCGACGATGATGTCATGTCATGGAGTCCTCTCTCTGCTCCTGCTGGCTGTGGTCCTTGTGGTCAGCGTGCAGTCGGGCAAAAACTGGGTCCTGATCGTTGCCGGAGTCAGGGCCAGGCCGGGCTGAGTGGTTTACAACGTCCCAGAAAACAAACAGAGGTACCAAATATCAAATTATAATTTGATTATATTAAAAATTAAAAGATGCTGGGCCTAACGTCTCTCAGGCCGATCCATCTATGTAATACCCACGGTTCCACTGAGGGTTTTTTTTTTTTGGGGGGTAACGCTTTGGTCTTTGCTCTTTGATCTTTGAATACGACGGTAAAGACAACACAAATAGATCTGGCTAGAATCGATACTTGATGTTACATTTGTTGTGTCGGCTGTCTGTTGTTCTTTGTTTGTCCCTGTGCCTGGCTTCCTGGTACCGCCCCCTCAGGTACTATAAACTTTATGACCCCTGTAAACGTAGATAGGAGAGTGCATAGGGTGGAGGCCAAAGCTTTGAATGTGAGGAAGTTGTAGCGTAGACGTGGGGTAGGAAGGACAGTAGAAGCTTTTATTAGAGTGAATAAACTACACTTTTTGAACACAGTGTTTGTTTTGATCCTTTACAGAACCCACACAAGGACACTACCGTTTGTTTGTTTCTTTTTTTTTGTACGTTTTATTCTTGTTTTGAGTGTTTTGCTTTTTTATGTCATTTTATTTGATGGTTCTTATTATTTTATTTTGTTTTGTTGGGGATTTTTTCTTAGGGGGAGGTT